AATTGTTATCCTATGAACTGCAAAAGCTAGAAAGCTGAAATTTTAGTGTGGCATCCTCTGCCCGCCTACGACTCTACATGTTTTCCCCGTAGAATTTTTGGCGGAGAAATCAGGAGAGCTAGTAGGCTAAAAATTTCAGAAGGAAGTTTCCTGCCTAAGGAGGGGCTTCATAAACTCGAACTGAATTCGATTATTATCTCGTGAATATGTATGCCGAGCCCTCACGCACAAACACATGAAATTTTTGTCACAAAAATCACTCGAAAGCTAGAAAATTAGAGGTCTGAAATTGTAGAGGGATATTCACCCTTCAAGGTTTCAAATTCGGCTTTCACGTACCGCTGCGTGAAGTTTTTATTGGGGAAAACCGCAGCTTAGGAACCAGGCAGCATTTCAACTATTTTTGCAAAGGCGAAAGTGCAAAGCAGTGAAAATCATTGGCAGGCATTCGTTCGGTAGACGGGATTGCACAAAACGCATGATCACACTAGCTGTTCTGGTGCACGTCGCTATTTAGTCATCTATGCAATGCAAATGCGCATACTGACGATGGCAGGAAAATTGCTAATGAACAACCAGAAAATTTGGAAAGCTGAAATTTTAACGGAACGTTCCCTGTCCAAGTACCGCATAAACAATTAACTTCTCGGACTTCTAATACCAGTATGTCATACATATCTAGCTACTTTGTTCCCGAGCCATCTTATTACAACACGAGATACTATAAAAACGCATGATCACACGGACCCATCCGGTGCGTGTCGCCAATGTTTTTCATTTCGAGATTCAGAAAAGCTAAAAGGTTGGAACTTTGGCAACTTAATCTACACGCATGTGCGGGAACCCTTCCCAGAATGGATGCTCATGCCCATGTGGCACTTGCGTGTGCGCTTGTGAAAATTTTTGGCGGGTAAGTTGCTAATTCAGGGACCAAAAAAGTTAGAAAGCAAAGGGATGTTTCCTGACAGTTGTGGTGGCAAGTTCCAATTCTTTTAGCTAGAAGCATCTACCGAAAAAAACAGTGCAGTTAGCGACAAAAACCTGCGGAGAACTGTACAAACAACGCATCTTTGCACCGACTCTCAATGCGTTTGCCAATTATTTCTTTATGCGTCCAGTTCCACAATTCGTGCACTGCCGAAATTCTTTTCTCAATTTTTTCATTTTGGCAAAATTTTGTCTTCCTTGGCGCACATCCGCTACTCTGCTTCAGTTTTTTTACCGTCTTTTTGTCTCATGGGGGCGATTTTGAACATCTTGAGAGAGATAGAGAGAGAGAGAGAGGGAGAAGTATGTGGAGAAGACGGAAGGAAGGCTTGCCAGTTTCCGGAATTATGAAGTTATCACAGAAACAAATTACAGCTTGAGGAAGTATTCGAGCGAGCGCAGTTGTCCGGCTCATGCATTGCGGCTGCTCGAAAGCGAACACAAATAATTAGTGTTGATGGTAAACGAGGAACAGTGCATGTTGCTGGACTTCTGGAGAAAAGAGCGCTCAATCTTGGCATTGTACTTGCGAGGTAGTACTTTCATTATTCAGGAGTCACAGCTGTGAAATCTCTGCCACCTGGATACTGAGGAGCAAGTCTACTGTACTGTTAAATGTGATGACTGAATTCTGTTATTTTGTCGAATGTGTCCTTTTCCCAGCTTTTGTTTACTTAAGATTTTAAAAGGTGTCGTTTTTTTTATGCGTTTTGTGCTGTGTAACAGCAGTACAAAACGCATATTGTTACGGGGTTGTC